GTACTGAGGTACTTTATAGAGTGCCCAAGGAGTTCTAAATTCCAGAATGCTCCATAATGAGGACCATATTTTGACATCATGCTACCCTGGAAGTACCTGAAAAATGATGCCCTTTTGTTCATGCTCTTTCCCTAAAGTCATAATTATGTTGGTTGCCATGGGCATCTGCTCCAGATTCTGTCTGCTCCAGTTTTGATAAATTCCCCTTAATGTATATTATTGATAATCAACAGACATTCACTTGTTTAGTGAAAGATAAATATGCATCCTAAAGAACTGTTAAACCAAGTAGTTAACAGGAAGTAATGCAAATCCAAAATAGCATAAAAATTTGTTTTGTTTGACGAAACGAATGAAAACATTTTTAGTTTTCGTTATTTCGTCGAAAACACATTTTTAGTCTTTGCACATGTCTAATAATACTGTATGTGATTATGAGTGTGTGTGGGGAGAGTTGTTTGTTTGTGTTTTTACTATTATTATATTTGGGGGAGGGGCTTCAAGGAAATATTGAGTCTAAACAGACCCTGGATATTTCCCTTTTGAAATAGAAAAAGAAATTAAGGACACAGAGTCCTCAAGCTCTTTTCTGCAGCCCCTGCAGCCCCTGTTATTAATTAAAGGAAAGCTCTCAGTACAGAGGCTTCCCATTCATTCAGAAATTGGTGATAGTAAAACATTTATTATCATCCAACTATGAATGGGGAGAAGCCTCTATGGTGAGTACGTCCGCACATTGAGAAACTCATGAATTAACAGGAAGTGATGTAAAGCACTTCCTGTTCATTCATAACTGGGGACACATAGTACTATGTGTCCCCAGTTGTTTACAAACATTGGAGTGAATACATGTTCACTCCAGTGAAAAACAAATAACCAAAAAAGATCTGCGCCAGTGATGATGCAAAAAAAGGTGAAAAAGAGCTACTAAGCACTAAAATTATATCTAATATATTACAAAATATTATTGCATTTATATGTGCAGCCTTCTAGAAGTATATGCTTTCCTGTGTAAATGAAAATCCACCCAAAACCGTATTTGTCTTTTTGACTTTGACAGAATTTGGAAGGGTAAGATCCTTTCTTTGAAATCTGTAAAAGAGTTTATGGACTTCTTGCCCCACACTACAGCATGTTTTCTCTCTGATTGGTTGAGTTAAACTCCAATCAAGAGCTTATGGTAGATAAATTGGATTGGGATCACTATTTGATCCTGAGATGGTCTTACCTCATGTCAGCAGCATCTGAGATACTCCTATCTGGAGGAAATTCAGGAAGATGTACATTGCACCCAGCCCCACCTTGAGTAATGCCTTGATACACTGGAAAAGTTTACCTAGCTGCACACATCATCCCGTCCCAAGTTTTTTGTATGTACCAACTCCAATCAGATTGTTCTGTTGCTGCAAGTGTGGAAGTTCAGTAAAGAGATATCTAGCATTCACAATGTGTGCGTCTTTTGTTCAACCACCTCCTACGCCACACTGTTTTTCAATAAGGCCTCAAATTGTAAGCAGAGTGTTCCTAAAACGAAAAAAATATACATTTCTATATTAAATTTCCAAGTACTATCCCACTCCTAAAAACCATATCGCTCTAGAAATTTGTAAGCTTACTTATTGAAGATGCACATAGGATGTACTTCCTCAATGCACTGACACAATTTCACTCAGCCATGTAAATATGCACTTCCATGTGTCACCACTCTAATGAAATCTGCCGTCTGATCTACAACTCAATGTCTGAACAATGTAACATTATCATTTCTTGCTGGAGGCACTGCATGATGGGCAGAGCCGTAGCTAGCTCCTTTTGCGCCCAAGGCAAGAACAAAAAAATATGCCCCCCAACAGGCGTGTGATGTCACCCAATGCCGTACATGTGCAGCGTCATGTGACGTCATGCACCTCGCCTCGAGGATGTGTTTATTTATTTTAAATCATTTTTTACATTTTAATTTCTTTTTTTTGCTGTCGGGGGGCTTCAAGAAGATATTAGGGGTCTAAACAGCCCCCTGATATTTTCCTTCTAAAATAGAAAAAGAAATTGAGTCCTTGATCTCTTTATGCAGATTCTGTTCTAAATGAATGGAAAGTACAGAGGCTTCCCATTCATTCAGAAAATATTTACTATTACCAGTTTCTGAATGGGGAGAAGCCTTTGTACTTAGTGCTACTACCCATTCAGAAACTCATGAATGAACAGGAAGCGATGTAAAGCACTTCCTGTTCATTCATAACTGGGGACACATACTACTCTGATTCCCCAGTTATTTACAAACACTGGGGTGATCAGCTGATCACTCCATTGTATTTTCTGCACACAGAGGATCACTGATATTTATCGATCCTCCCGCCCTCCTCCCGCCCTCCTCCTGAGCCGCTGGGCACAGTCTGCAGCTTCTTCTCCCCCACCTGTATGGGCAGAGGCAGCGGGGATTTGAGAAGTGGAGCGCTGAAGCAGGAGGGGCGGCGGAGGGGGGAGCACTGTCACTTCAGGATGGACGAGCGGTGAGGAGAGAGAGAGAGCCACTGGCTGTCAGATCCTGGCCGAGTGGCTCTCTCTCTCCTCACCGCTCATCTATCCTGAAGTGAGAGCGCTTCCTCCTCCTCCACCCGTCAGCTTCAGCACCTCACTTCACCTCAGATCCCCGCTGCCTCTGCCCATACAGGTGGGGGAGAGCAGCGGGGATCCAGAGGAGAAGCTGCAGGCTGTGCCGCCCCACTTCTCCCTGCTGGCTGAGCCCCTCCCTGCACCTGCAGCCAAGGTGAGAGACTCGGTCACCTCGCCCTCGCTACGGCCCGGATGATGGGATATGTAGTCTTGTAGTCTATGTATTCTATGTAGTCAAATTGAGATTGCATCACACACAGAAGCAGGGAAAGAGATGACAGCACTCACTACATAAAAGGGATGTTTCAAGTAAGCTTTAATTGCATTATCAAAAACAATTACAGTATGTATTCCTATTACAATGCTGATGCTATAATAGGATAATATAAACTGTGACTTTAGAACTCCTTTAAAGGAGAACTATGAGATGAGTGCTTTTCACTCACCTCATAGTTCTAGCCGACCTGTGACAATGAGACTGTCACAGGTCGGCTCAGTAGAACGGGAAGTGAGCGAACACATAACGGCGTTCGCTCACCTCTCGATCCTGTCACGGCTCTCTGCCGTGACAGGTGAGGGGCTGGATTACCCCCTCCCCGCTGCGATCCGCCAGCGCTGACTGGCGGAACGGACAGGGGAGGGGCGGGTACAGCTGGCTCTGCCTCTAGATAGGCAGAGCCAGCTGTCACTCACCTAGGCGGATCCCGGCACAATTGTCGGGATCTGCTTCAGCTGCGGTGTCTCAGTATACCGCGAGCAGCAGCTCGCGCTATACTGCGGTGGCCCAGTACACCGCGAGCTACAGCCCGCGCTATACTGAGCCTAGAGTGACGGGAGGATGCTAGTTTGTGTCCTCCCGTTACCCTAAGGAGAACTATGGGGAAAAGCCTTAACCCCATAGTTCTCCTTTAAGTTGGCCATACACTTTTAGATATTTTTCCTTCAGCCCGTGGGCCAAACAAAAAAAAAACCCCTAACAGATTCCACTAGCATGGATGGACGCATCTCCTGCTGCAAATGTTATAACCTGACAGCCAGCATTCCCTGCTGTCAGTTTACACAATCATTGACTGCAGCTAATTGGCTGCATTCACTGTTCAGCCAAAAATCTTCTTTTGAAAATTCGATTCAGTAATCAACTTTCTTTGAGCTGCCAGGACCACCCAATTAGAGAATTGCATCCAATTCCTGTGAATTGACAGAGATTTTAAGAGTCTATAGCTATGATGTATAAGTGTATGAATATGTGGAGGACAGCATCACTTTGCCAGCTGAAGCCATTGTTTGGATATTTTCTTTGGTTTGAGAGCTACTGATGAGATCTAGTAGATGAGGGAGGATATGTGCAGGAACCTTCTGATTTAGATGTGAGTACAGGTACTCTTGAGTAATTGTAGCTTGTGGACAGCTCACATTGTAAACATATTCACTACAAAACATCATTTTTCTTGGACCTTGCGATGCTTTTAGTTAAAAATCTCACAAAGCAAACTGATTCCATTGCTGTGAACTTGGATTTTGTGCTTCTATTGCACATCTCCCCCATTCATCAGAAGAGGTTTACTGATGTATCTGTGACACACTGCAGATACATGGAAAGGTGTTAATTGTATCATCATCTCAAGGATCTTGCTATGTTTCACACTAATAACCCGGCAGTGGGAACGTTATCCTAAGTGTGAAGGTAACTCGTTTAGGGTTCCTCACCTCTTGATCACATCCCAGGGATTAACCCCTTTGCTTCCATGCACTCTACATGATGGAGCATGTGCTTTAATGATGATCTAGGTGTAAACGAGTTCTGCTATATTTAGATGGAGAGAGAAGCAGAGAATAATAGAATTTGAAGGGTTCCTAGCTCTTGGTAATAGTTGTATGTCTCTTTCCTAATTGTGGGCATGCCCAGCTGAGCTATGTGAACAGATTGGAAAGGCTAAGTGACTTTACTACAGCCAATGGCTGTGATGCTGTAAGCCAGACTCAACAGAAGGGGCTGATTGTTGTATGTGAGTTCTCTGCAATGTAACTCGGGAGACAGCCTCCCTCCCTCTGTTAGAGTCTCAGAAGGCAAGGGAAAGCGTAGGTTGACTTGGGAGCTGTCCATGATTGTGGTGCTGAACCAAGCCCTATCACTCCTCAGGAGGTAAGAAGGCACGATTCGGAGACGTCTTGGAATTCTCCCACTTGAAGGCTTATCTTTGGATTTATCTATCTTGACACAAGATGACTGAGAAAATCCATTCAACTAATTAAACGTATCATCTGTATGAACCTATTGGATCTATGCTCAGAATATACAGGCACTAGGAACAGCTGCTTGTAGAAGAACTAAGAGTCTAAGAAAGGACAAGAAAGAGTCTGAGAAGGGATCTCAAGCAGCTCATCTCCAGTTATTTGTAAGATCTGCTCTGCATATTGTTTAAGGTTCCCTAACCAACTTGCTGAAGCCTTAAGTGAAGCCACAATCATGGCTTTTATAGTGAAGACTATGGTGGGTGGTCAGCTGAAGAACCTCACTGGAGGTCTGGGGAGCAAAGAGGAAAAAGGAGAAGGGGAGAAATCACCAGCTGAAGCACAAGGGATGACAAAGGAAGAATATGATGAATACCAAAAGCAGCTCCTGGAAGAGAAGTAAGTACTTGTCATGTTTGAAAGCTTTTAACATCAGATGTAGTCAGCAGACTCAACTCTAGAGTCAAGAGAAGTTAACTATATAAGAGATGTCATGATGGAAATAAGAAGTGGTAGGTGGGGTATTATGAATAAAGTTAGAGGAGTTTAGGAAACAAGTAGTGTTGTATGCGCCAATCATATTTAAAAAAATCATTTTATTCTCTAAGAATGCCTTTTGGAAAATATCTCTTGCACTCTATTTGCAGGTGGAAAAGAATAAATTGCACCACTTTATTCTGTCTACCTCATTATTTATCATATCTGTATGTGTATTATAAGCATAGTTCTCATTGTGACTGCCCTATAAACAACTGGAAGAACTAAATAATAAGAGTGAACCAGGGGCTGAATAAGGGTGGTATTCCATTTAAACTACTGAAAAAGCAGAAGCATATCACAACACACGTTATAGAATCGGAGTTCAATCCCAAGAGTTCATAACAAGCCAGCATCCAGATCATGTGTTGCTTCCTGCCGGCACCATCTTACTTGCATCATTGATTATGTTGTGCCGCTGCATTGAGATCCACTTGCAAACAAAGCAGGGCATGTGCATGCACATGTGTCCCTCAGTTATAATTCATAAAGCTGAATTTACTGTCATGCCAACTCACACAAAACAGATTATAATTACTCGGGCTTCCTTTCAGTCCTGGGGGTCTCTAAACTGGAACAAGTATGACTTATTCACCAACAAGGTCGGCATGATAATAATGGCTTGCAGACCTGGCTGGATTTCTACCAAAACTAGCTATGATTATAAACTAATAAGTATTAACTTGCACTGCAGTGATAAATTGGCACAATTCTACATTGCAATGCACAGAAATTGTGCCACAAAAACTGGTCAAAGCTGTATGTTAATAAAATAGTGTATACTATACTGAGAAATAATAAACACTTGACTGCACACTGAAGTATGGTACACACCTTTGTTACATTTGGATGCTTGAGTAAATGTCATAGTTACTCCAACACAAGCTAGAACTTTTATTATATAATTTCACTAAATGAGTGAGCTTGGAGCAGTGGCTACTTTACAACACACACAGAGACCATGGGGAACAAAAGTAGCCACCCTCCAGAAGGAAGGACAGTATCAGCATGAATTCAGATATGATTTGATGATCTACAGCCGAGTGATACACAAACAAGATACATTTTTGTTAATAGTTAGGGTACTTGAATGCATTTTGAAGATTTAATTTCTTGAGTTTAGTGTCACTTTAAACCCAAGTTAACAAAGAGTGCCATGCTCTAGAGCAGTGGTTCTCAACCAGTGTAACCTCAGGACCCACATTTGTCCTTGGTCATTAAGTCGCGATTAACGCACTGTACTAGTGTGAACAGACCCTCAAAAACACCACCCACTCTCACTATCTTACGAGCACTGGAGTGGATCCTCAGCCTGGGGTCCAGTGTGGGCTGCTGAACTGTGAAGGAACTCCATCCATATGTGCATTGCTTGTACAGCTCCCTCACACACCCTGAAGAGGTGCTGGGAGCCAGAATGTGATGTCACCCCGGTCTAGGCACCTCTACAGGACACGTGAGGGAGCAGTAAAGAAATGCACGTACCGTATGTATGGAGCTCCCTCGCGGCCATAGCCCCATCCGATCCCACCTCAATCTAACACATGACACCGGGCAGCATATTTTGAATGGCCGCTTGGCATGAGAACTGACAGTGCTGCGCTAGGGGGAAGCAGAGGAGCCTTTCACCTACAAAAGTGGAAGACATGCGACGACCCAGTCAACACTGGGTCGTGACCCACTATTGGGTCACGACCCACCAGTTGAGAACCAAGGCTCTAGAGCATACCCACAGCTAATTATTCATCATCTATTACATTTTATAAAATGTATGGAAACATATACATGCACATGTCAACTAAACTCCCCCAATTACGGGGTTAATTGACCCTCATCTTCTATAATGGTGACCTATTTCAACCAGCTTTCAGTCTCAGAAACATCTGAACAGATCCCAGCTACCTACCATCAACACTTAAGATCATTTCACAGTGTGGATATGGTATATACTGTTGGTGGCAGCTTGCATTCTTTTATTTTTATGATCAACCACTAGATGAAAATAGTTGAAATCACCTGAACTCTTGTGTGTGTTGCCATTATAAAAGCTATGCTAGGGCTAGCTGTAAGATACACATTCATGCTTTGCAATAAACTGCTTCCAGGATGATGTGTCTGATGAGGTGACTCTTACAAAGCAGAAAGTATTTTACAGATTGATGGGGGGAGAGCATGTGTTCCTCTGACACTGGAACTCCAGTCATTCTGAATCATGGCACCAATCTGGCACCATACAGTCACAGACTCCGGTGGCATTAAATTGCTATGGCAATCCTTTATCATTCTGGCATCAGGTGTCAAAATGTAATGAGATCAGTGGAGAGTTCCCCGCATAGGGTCATTTTTCTTGATTAATTTAATTTAATTTCAATAATGTCGCAGAAGTTACAGGTAAAAATATATTTATTTTTTTACTAATGGTCACCATAAAATGTAAGGCCTGCCCTGCTAGGTGTGCTCCTAATTCCAATACAAATGCACCTGAGAGGTGCTGGGTGAAGCCAGATTAACGACACAATGACAAATATAAAACTGGGTGCTTGGGAAGAGAACCAATTTGGCACTCTTCAATTTATTCTATATATGTTTTCCTATACGCCATTATTAGATAAAAATCCAGATTATTAAAGTATATCTAAAGCCATTTTTTGTTGTTTTTGATAGAACAGGGAATGGATAAAATCTCTTTCACCTGTCTGAGCCCCTTTGGGGAGACTTTCCTTCACTTCCTGTCTCAGAAAACAATAGAAAGTGAGAGGAGATGTCTCCAAACTCAGGGATCCTCTCTTAGACAGTTGTCAAGGGAACAAGCATCCCCACTGGAAGATGTCCCCTCTTTTTTTACTCCAAACCCAAAATGTTAGATTTTCTCTCACTTCTCAGTGACAATGGTCATCAGGACAAATAGTGTAGGAGACCCTTCCCAGCATGGACACAGACAGCAGTAAAAAGCTAACAGGGGTTCTAACCTTTCTATACTCTATTCAAAATGAACATTATTAGCTTTAGATGCATTTTATTTGACTTTATGGCATCTATCAATGATGGATTAAATTAATTTGGCTTTATGTATATATTTGTTACTGTGGTCTTCTGACTCACTGTGTTAGCAGTATTGCAACAATTAATGAACAATATCTGGCCAAAAAAATTCATATAAGCTCTTTGATTTTAAAATGTATTATGTCGGCTAAGACAATGCTGTATTTATAATATGGAAAGCTTGACTTCCATCCTATTCTAAGGTTTTGTCCTATTGAACTGTTTCCTTAACACAAATATAAGTGAGTTGATGGAACGGAATCCAGACACAAATTTACAGTACAAGATTAGAGGGAGGCCACAGGTCATTGTTTAAAGAGGTGCAATTGTTTTTGTGGTTAGAAAACACAGTCGGGATCTGGACAGGTAGAATGTAGAAAAACAACACAACAGATTATTGTGAAGGCAATGGAAAACAAGAGTCCAGAAACTGCTGAACAATAATGCAGGGAATCTTGTTGCTTAGGCAATGTATGGTACACTGGGCATATATTCGTTCGCAAGCTGTTTGTTACGGTTTAGAACCATGTGACTGCAGAATGTAGCTAGATATGAAACTTGCAGGTAGCTTCAAAAAGGAGCTTTTATTTATAGCTGGAAGAATCGCTTATACAAGCCCGTCTCCATTTATAAATATATAGTTATAAAACCTCAGCCTTTTTGGTCGTTTTTTTTTCTTCTTTTAGCAGAGATCATAATATTTTAGTACATACTGAATCAGGAGTGGATATACATTGCTTGTGCAGAACATGCTGCAGCACAGTAGTGCAAAGGAACTAGGGCACCTATTGAGGATCAAGTGATCAGAATGCAGTAGGGCCCTTCTCCTCCAATAGGTTTAGCTTGCCACACTCAATAATTTGTAACATTTCACAAACTAAAGCCAGTGGTAAACACAAGATGGAGTGATTGGGAAAGGGAATAGCCAACAAGGAGCATGACTAAGAGGGGTTGCTGCATGTGCAAGTAGATCATGTTGCAAGTCCCTTGTTAGTTTCAGGTACTGGTTTGTCTAGCAGCATGTACAGTTCCTTGAAAATGTTTATTAATCCTTTAAGAGGTTTTTTCGATTTTGCTTGGAGCAGACAGAATCTGGAGCAATTGTCCTTGGCAACCAATCAGCTTCTATTTTCAGTTTGTTCAGTTAAGTTTTGAAAAAGAAAGATAGACTGATTGGTTGCCATGGACAACTGCTCCAGATTCTGCCTGCTCCAGTATTAATAAATTCTTTTTTAAATTGGAATCTCTTTACTAAAAAAAAATTATTTAAACATGGAAGTCAATGATGGGAAAAGTATGTGAACCCATACATTTAGTGGGACCTCCTTTAATGGCAATAACCTCAGTCAGCACAAGACCCTGCAAAGTTTTTATGCTGATATTTTGACATATTCCTAGATATGAAACTTTATTTTAATCCAGATTGTCTTATTCCTAACTCTGTGTTGCCTGTTATAAAATACAGAATTTCTTCTGTTAATTTGCTGTTTCAGATCACAGCATTGTTGCATTACCAAACTTCTTCTGGGTTTTAGATCACAGATAGATACCTGGACATTCTGATGTGAAATATCTCAACATGGGTTGAAATTAATTAATCAATGATTGCAAGCCATCCATGGTGAAAAAGCTACCCCACAAAACTATACTTATTTTTAGGATAGAGTCATGTGCTTTTACCCTGGAATACTTTTTATGTGTTTCAGAATTGTATGGCATCTACGTGCACTGATCTCTGTAAGGTGCCTTACAGACAGTAGCAGTAGTGCTAATTTTCTTGCATTATAAGATCTTACTGACTGAGGGCTGATAGAAACCAAAAT